GAGGCTAAGGGAGGAAATTCTAATCCTAAAGATTCAAGGATTAGGGTTGATGACCATGGTAAGGATAACGAGGAGGGTACCCTAAGTCCTAAACCTACTGGGACTGTGTTTGAGATGGTAGCTAGGCATGTTAAGAAGGAAGCAGTTGAGGCAACTAATATGGAAAATAATGTGAAGCCTAGTCAAAGAGGGACTCAATCACCAGGTGTGGAAGGTAATCAAGAATTAGCTAAGGCTAGTTCTCCTAGTTCTATTGAGGCAGAGATTGATGAGGGGGTGAACAAAGATTCTACAATTGAGTGGGTGCATAGAAGGTTTGGTACTAGCAAGGAAGAATTAAGGGAACTCAATGTGACAATCAATAAACCATGCCATGAGGTACCTTCACAAACCTATGAGAATTCGGGACAATTGGAGGAGCATAATGAAGTAAATTATGGGAAAACATTATGGAGTGATGAAGATTATGAAATGGAAGCTCAGATAAGGTCAACAAATTCAACAGGAGATATAGAGGATAAAGGAAATAATCAAACATAAAAAACAGACAGTTTGGCTCTAACTACAATAAACCCTAGAAATTCAAAAACTAGGGTTGATGATCAATCGAGTTCTAAAGTCAAGGAAGCAGTTCCACCAGTTGGAGATGATAGAGGAACATCAAAAGAAGCAGGAAATCATGGGGGATCAACTACTGCACAATTAGCTAAGAAATAGGCTAATAGAACAGTAAACCCTAAAAATTCTGGGGAGATTTGGGCCACTGTTGATGGGATGCCATTGTATGATATAAGGAGGGTCCAAGTTGGGGATATTGAAATGGAGGTATTGAAGTATACAGTGGGGGTCAGACCATCAAACAGTCGATAAGAAAGGGGGTCATCTCAATGGAACAATGTTTTCAGGGAATTCTGCTAAAGTGAACCCTAGTTTGGGTTCTATCTATGATCTTCAATTCAAATTAATGCAGGAGAATCTCAGGAGGATGGAGAGCAATGCTGAGATATTGAAGGATGCCATAAGAAATGCACATGATCAGATTGAGCAAACAATAGTACCCAGGGACTTAGATGCAATTGAGACAGTGCCTTTAGCATGTGCTTCTGGAACTGGATCACCAATGCAGATACAAATCAATGTATCTTTGAAGTCACCAAATGAGATATTACAAGATATATTCACTCACAAAGAGTTCCCTGTGGACATTCAGAATGCTTTGGTGGATCAACAACAATAATATGAAGATAAAGGTGATGATGAATCCAAATGGGCACTTTACAGCTGTAGCAAGAGAAGGGAATTTGTCACCTTAAGTTTCAGGTAAAAGTGGAAAGAAAGGAAAAAAGCAAACATAAGCCAAAGAGCCACAACCACCTACTAGAATTTTGCCCAAGAGGGCAACCTCAACAACAAGATGATGATTAAAACTCTAATATGGAAGATAAGGTATGTTAAGAATCAGCAAGCCTTTCAAAGGGTTATAGATATGCAAAGGGAACATGGCTTTTTCATTGTTTCACTGATGGAGCCATTTAAAAAGACAAGATATATTCAGAGGTATAGAAGGTGGCAGGAATAGAAGCTGCAATTTCAAATATGAATGGGAAGATATTGTTATTTTTTGATGTTGTGGAGGAATGGGATTTGTTGATGGATACTGAATAGCAGCTGACTATCAGGACATATCATCAGGATATAGAAAAGCACATTATGATGAACTTTGTGTATGGAAAATGTTCATCATTGGAAAGGTTAGAGTTGTGGGATAATATATATTATCTAGCTAGTGATATGAAATTGCCTTGGTTGATTGGGGGGGAATTCAATGTGATTCTTGATGAGGAAGAGAAGATAGGAGGACTGCATGTTTATCCTCCAGAATATGAAGATTTTGCTTTTTGTATAAATTCTTATGAACTATTTGATCTTGGGTATAAGGGCAGTCCTTTCACTTGGTGGAATGGAAGGCGTAATGAAGAACGCATCTTCAAAAGGTTGGATAGAATACTTGTGAACTTGCCTTTCCAAAACCTATTCCATGATATAGAGGTGGAGCATTTCATCATAACTGCCTCAGATCATGCTCCACTCTTGATGAGTTGTGGAGAAGAGGCAATGAAATTTGTAAAACCATTCAAGTTCTTGAATTTCTAGACAAAACATGAAACCTTTATGGAGGTGGTTAGGCAGAATCGGATGGCTGATTTCATTGGAGATCCATTCTTGATGTTCAGTCAAAAGTTGAAGAGGGTTAAGATTGCTCTTTCTAAATGGAATAAACTCACTTATGGCGATATATTCAAGCATTTGGCTGTTAGAGAGGATGTGGTTAGAATTAAAGAGATGATATTTGAAGAAGAACCAACAGTAGAACAGAATACTTCTTCCACAAGAATAACTTGAATTGAAAAAATACTTGAGCATTGAGAAGCAGTATCGGAAGCAAAAGGCTGGTATGAATTGGTTTGGTGAAGGAGACAGAAACACAAGGTTCTTTCATAACCATGTGAATGGCAATAGATAGAAATTACAGCTCAAAAAAATTCAGAATGGAGATGGTGATTGGTTGGAATCTCAAGATCTCATGGCTAATGTTGCAGTAGATGGCATCCAAAAACAATTCACACAAGAAGGGTATTCTACAATTTTGAGCTATTGAACAATGTGCCTAATATGGTAACTATAGAGCAAAATCTGGAGCTTTGCAAGTTTCCTACCATTAATGAAGTTAAGAGTGCAGTATTTGCACTAAATGGAGATAGTGTAAGTGGACCTGATGGTTTTACTGGATTGTTTTACCAGCATTGTTGGGATATTGTAGGGGAGGACATCTTCAGGTTGCTGATAGAGTTCTATGGAGGTGCATCTTTGCCAAAGTCAGTAGCACACACAAATCTTGTTCTCCTGCCCAAGAAATCGCAGGTTCAAACTTTCTCAGATCTAAGGCCTATAATTATTAGTAACTTCTTTAATAAGGTGATCTCTAGGGTATTACATGATATATTGGAGAAGATTCTTCATTCTTTCATCTCTACCAATAAGTCTGGCTTTTTGAAGGGGAGGAGTATCTTTGAAAATATATTACTCACACAAGAAATTGTCACAGATATTAGACTAAGGGGGAAGCCTGCTAATGTTGTGATTAAGTTAGACATGGCCAAGGCTTATGATAGAGTGTCATGGAAGTATCTACTTCATGTATTGAGGAATATAGGATTTGCTGAGCATTTCATCAACATGATTTGGAATCTATTGGCAAACAATTGGTATTCAGTACTTATAAATGGGCAAGTATCTATATTTTTTAAGTCTACAAAAGGGGTGAAGCGGGGGAGGGGGGGAGGGAGGGGAGGTCCTTTATATCCAGCCTTGTTTATTCTTTCTACCGAGGATCTATCAAGATCATTGAAAAAGTTATTTGAAGACAAGAAGTTTAGAGGATTTGGTATCCCAAAATGGTATGATCCTTTGAATCATTTGGCATATGCTGATGATACAATCATATTTGCCTCTGCTGATCCATATTCATTGAGAAAAGTGGTTGAAGTCCTTACACTATATGAGTAAACATCTGGACAACTGATCAACAAGTCAAAAAACTCATTTTGCATGCATGCTAATGTGGTAGGAGAGTTGTTTCATAATGTTGGTTCCATAATTGGATTTTAGAGAGGCAGTTTCCCTTTCACTTATCTAGGGTGTCCAATCTTTTATACAAGGAGGAGGAAAGATTATTACAATGATCTCATTAAAAGGTTGAAGGCAAAGCTACATTCTTGGAAAGAAAAATTACTGTCCTTTGGAGGTAAAGCTACACTTATTACTAGTATGTTGCAAAGCTTACCAACTCACATCCTTTCAGTGTTAGATCCTCGTGACAATGTGCTTGTATATTTGCACAAGATATTTGCTAGATTCTTTTGTAGTACTAAGTAAGAAGGTAGAAGTAGGCACTGGACCAAGTGGCTCAATTTATGTCTTCCAAAGGAAGAAGGAGGATTAGGGTTCAGATCTTTATTTGATCTATCCAAAGCCTTGTTGCAAAGTTATGGTGGAGGTTTAGGACATCAAAATCCTTGTGGTCAAACTTATATTGCAAAAAGGAAATGCCAACTATGGTTCAATTAATACAAGGATCACATTTGTGATGGAAAATGCTAGAAGCTAGAGAAGGGGTTGAACATGAAATTATGTGGAAAATGAATACGGGCTCTACAAACATTTTGCATGAGAATTGGACTGGTCTTGGAGCATTATATCATGTACTACCACCAGAGTTCAATATCAATGAAGAGTTACAAGAGGTGGCAGAATTGAGAGATGAAGATGGGTGGAATGAACTAATGTTGGAAGAGAATTTTCCAAAAGATATTGCTTATCATATAAGGCAAGAGGTATATTTTGATAATACTGATGAATTCTGGTACACACCTAAATGGATGCCAACATCTTCAGGCAAGTTTACAGTAGGTAGCGCTTGGCAAATATTGAGGCATAGGGCTTATCCAAATCCAGAATACAAGCTTCTATGGACAAAGGGGTTGCTATTTAAGAGCTCTTTCTTCCTATGGAGGCTTTGGAGAGGGAAGGTGAGAACAGATGTTATATGGAGGAGAGCTGGTCAATTAGTTGTTTCTAAGTGTTTGTGTTGCTTACCACCACAAGAAGAAACTTTCCAACATATTTTCCTTACAAGTGATGTTGCTAGTAGGGTATGGAAAGTATTCTTGCAAGCTCCAGGATTAGTGATTAATCTAGTACAAGTACATCAGGTAATTAGAGCATGGTTGAGTGCAAAATATTGTGCTAACCTCAAGCCTTTATTTCAAGTAGTTCTAGCCATTATTACGTGGGAGATTTGGACGAGGAGGAATTCAATGTAGCACAGAGGAGGTGCAGTATCATTTCATAGGTTGGTACATGCGGTGAACAAAACTCTACACTTTCTAGCTAGAGTTAGATATCCTTACTTGTCTAATATCCTCATAATGTGGCCAGAAATGGTCAGGTACTTTGAAGGCTACAAGCCTTATATTGTTACCAAAAGAATTACCTCGCAGCTACCTTATGAGAGGTGGTATAAGTGCAACACTCATGGTGCTTCTAAAGGGAATCCTGGGCCAAGTTCTTATGGTTTCTGTGTGAGGAATGATACTGGAGATGTGGTATTTGTAATGGCAGAAGAAATAGGGATCTCAACTAATATAGTGGCTGAGGAAAGTGCAATAGTGGAAGGGCTCTTAGACTGTGTTCAAAGGCAACTTCATCCACTCATTATTGAGACAGATTCCTTGGTGATGAAGAAGATTATTGAAGGTGAATGGGAGATATCTTGGAACATTGGGAAGGAAGTGAAGAAGATTAAGGAGATAAAGAAGAATTATAATGTGATCTTTCAGCATGTCCTAAGGGAGGGCAACACAGTAGCAGATTTTTTAGCTAACCTTGTTTTCTCTTTTACAGGTGCCATTCAATTTCACTCTTTCTCTGAAATGCCTAGTGCAGGAAGGAGACTAATCAATCTTGACAAATCAAAAACACCTAATTTTAGGGTGAGAATGGCTAAAAGGAAAGCTCCTGACTGATGAGAAGTCCTCAACTGAAATTGCATGGCCTTGTGTTGTTTGATGTTGCTATATTATGTATAATGTTAGGGTGTTTCTCAGTGGTATTAGCATGTTTTCATGCTTATTCTGGGGACATTCTAATGTTATATAGATTAGTTAATGCAAGGTAGGTGGTGTTATATCACATAAAATCACACGGCATAACACTGGTGAACAGTAGGTATGTGCTTTGCACAACCATATGCAGAATCATAATGTTGGATGCACTGTGCACTCCAATTTTGCAGATTACTCTGAAGGATCAAAGCTGAGATCCAATGGTATCAGGAGGTATCTCATTACACAATATGATTTATTGGTTCAGACTTTCACACGAAGTTACTACTGCAATTTGTTCTGTGCATAAATGCTTGCACGCATTACACAATGCAATACAGTTTCACAACTGATCACATCATCTGTTGCTCCTTCTGTTATATTATGTATTGAGCTGTCATTTTCTAGTGGTATTAGTATGTTCACACACTCATTCTGGAGATGATAATTCAGTATATATGTTATGCTTGTTTAGTGAGCAGATGAATTATCATATGATTTGGGCAAATTCAGTATACTGCCATGATTTGAACTAGAAAACTATATGGAGTTGTTCATTCTGGAACAACATTGATGGTTGGAAGATTTTGCTTGCTTCTATTAAGTGGTGCAAATATTTTGAATTCATGCTAGCTTTATCCATTTCTAATGGAAGGCATACCCTGGCACCTTGTGAGAGCTTGATAAGTGCTACTTGGTATTTGCCCCTGGCTATTGGATTCACATGCACTAACTGGAGAATGAAGCATGCAACATATCATGTTGTAATAGCTAGTTCCTTAGATATTAGTTATTTCATCTTTCTAGTAGCTAGTGGTTTTGTGCAATTTGTATTTAGCTTTGGACATCTTGTAAGCTTTGGACCCAAATTTGGATTTTTTTAAATATATTAGCCACTAGGCAATATGGCTAGTTGTATATTTTCTTAAAAAAAACTCAAGAATTATCGATCACAAGAAACGGTAAAACTAGTTCGCAAGGAATAGCCATAATAAAGAATACTAGGCGTAATAAGAACAACTCAACATGGAAGAGAAGAATTTGTAACAATGATCCCACAATATACGGTTCAACAACAAGAAACTAACACGAGTCAAATAATTCCAAATAAAGGCAAGTCAACTAAGGCATAGGATATCTAAGTTTCTTTTAAGTTTGGACAATTACGAAAGAGATGCAACAAATTCAAATAAAGGTAGGCAGCGGAAAGATAACCATAACCTAAATTAAGGGTGAACATTTACAAAAGGGATAACTACAACTTCAAATAAAGATAAGCAGTTAGGGAAAAGATAAAATGGCAAGGGAAGAGATAATAGTTTTCAATCAAGGCACATATGAATCAAGTAAAAAATAAGAGTAAATCATGAAGCAATTGATCCTAATTAAGCAAGTAGAGGTGAAACTAGTTACTAAGGAATGTAATCATAACAAGAACAATTGCATATTCAATGAATACTAGGACCTAGGAACCTAAAAGGCTAATTTCCACAACTAAGTCTGAGCACGTACTCGTCACCTCGCGTACACGGAGTACAATTAGCATAAAAGACTTAAATCCTAAGAGATAGTTCCCCCACACAAAGTTAGGCAAGATACTTACCTCAAATAAGTCAAACTGGTACTCTAAAATGAACTTCTCGGGTGAAATGACCTTCGGACGGCTCAAATCTAACCAAAATCACTTCAAAGCACAAATAAACTCATAAGAAACAATTTCGGATCATAAATTCTCAATCTTTATCAAAATCTAAAAATTGGCCCAATNTAACCACCATTTTCCTCAACTCAAAATACAAATTAAATGATAAAAATAACGATAAAATCATGGAATATAATAAATTCTAGGTGAAGAACACTTACCCAATTAATTTTCTTGAAAAACCCATAAAGAATCGCTCAAAACCGAGCTCTACAAGTCAAGATATGATAAAAATGGCCTAACCCTTTATTTGAAGATCTTATATTCTGCCAAGATGATTGTGTATCGTGAACACGGAGAAAGGGTCGCATTCGCAAAGAAGAAAAATGAGGATAACCAGAAGACCCTTCGCAAATGCAAGTGAAGCGACGTAAATATGAAGAACAGGGGACGGAAACCTACGCGAACGCGTAGGGGAACACGCGAACGCAAAGAGTAATGACCACCGGTGCTCAGGGCCTGGTTTCTCCTACGCGAATGCGGAAGGAAGGATGCGAATGCGAAGAAGGAAAAATGAAGACCTTCACGAATGTGAGAGCATGAATGCGAACGTGAAGAGAAAATGTTAGGCGGGTCAGCAGAAAGGGTCGCGATCGCAAAGAAGAACTTTAAATGACAGAAAACAACAGTTCAAAATAGGAGGAAATGACCCGTGGCCCATCCGAAACACACCCGAGGCCCCCGGGACCCCGTCTAAACACACAAAAAAGTTCTATAACCTAACACGGACTCGCTCGGGTTCTCAAATCATATCAAACAATGCCGAAACTACAAATCGCGCCATGCATCGGACTTATGATCTTCCAAATCTTTCTACTTTAAAAACGCGTGCCAAAACCTATCAAACCAACCCGAAATGACGTAAAATTTTGCAGGCAAGTTCCAAATAACATAACGAAGCTTTTCCAACTCTCAAAATTGTATTTGGACCCCGATATCACCAAACTCAACTATTGGTCAAACCTCTCCACTTTCCAAACTTCAACTTTTCCAACTTTCGCTGAAATGCTTCAAATGACCCTACAGACCTCCAAATCCAAATCTGGATGCACGCCTGAGTCCAAAATCACCATACAAAGCTGTTGAAATCATCCAAAACCCATTTTGGATCCGTTTACACAAAAGTCAAATTCTGGTCAACTCTTACCGCTTAAGATCCCAAAACTTAACTCCTTCTTCCGATTTGACTGTGAATTATCTGGTAACTGAATTCAGCCATGCACGCAAGTCAATACACATAATACGAAGCTTATCAAGATCAAATGTCGCCGAACGGGACTTAAATTCTCAAAACAATCGGTTGGGTTGTTACATCTTATTACTAAGGGTTGTGGCTAGTAAGGTTTATTAATAATCTAAAGATTAACGACCAAGGGTTGCTTTGAGTGAAAAAAGGCAAGATAGTGAGAACATTAGAGGGGAAAAGCCAAATTTGAAAGTTATAGTAAAAGGACGCGAGCTATAGTCACGCCTCGACCTCGGGGAGCGCGACCAGCACTCAACCGAGATACCCTGGTTAAGCAAGCTTGTTAGATGCCTTCTACCCAACCTTGCCCATTAACAATATAATAACTAGTACAGGTGATAGATATTAGAAGAGTCAAGTGCTCCATAATATTTTCCACTACTAAAGAATATTCATTTATGATTTACAAAATATAACAAATCTACTGATATGATAAAAACATGTGCGCCCAAATACCAAAACTTACTAGTTGAAATCCCAACATCATATACCACCCACAACCTATCTACGGAGCCTCTAAGTACAACAGAAGAGTAGCATGGATGTGCCGGAGAAAAGGCCCCGGCTACACCTTAAAATGTAACGTACAACGTCAAATGGCATGAAGCCCGGAACAGAGTAGGACTTACCAAAATGTGTTGAGTAGAGAGTAACTGCTAACGAGGGTCAAAACCACATACTGACGAATCACCTGCATCCATTAAAGATGCAGCGCCCCTGACAAAAGGGACGTTAGTGCTTATGGAACAGTACTAGTATGTAAAGCTAAATGTCCACTTTCAAAATAGAATACCATTATAAGAAAGGTAAAACCGTAGAAACAGTAACTCACAATCAACAATATCCAAATGCCCAGTTAACACATACCAGTTTTAAAAATACGAAAAATAATATATAGTTTTTGTTGGGAGATTATTAGCACTGATAGACTACCATGTTTGAAGCACGGAGTTCGATTATGCCTGATCGGCTAGGCCATCTCCCCACGGACAATGTGGTTTGACATGTGATGCAAAAAAGGGTGTTACCAAGAGTAGTACCACCATGTGCGCAACATGGCGTCTGATCTCCACCCGATCGGCTAGGCCTCCTTCCCACATTTGCCTTATGGGTTGACTTTCTAATTCACACCTAATATTAATCTCATACCAAATAAGGGGAATAATCACAATCCATCACCATCCACCCTTACAACGGCACGTGTAGTTTCGGGTATGGGCCTTATGACCCACCTTTCCTCGATTTGCTAATAATACTCAAAAAAATATTGTTGGTTTACACACAAGGGAAACAAAAGCACAAATGTATTTATCTCATTATCCTTTACATTGTATAAACCTTCATTAGTATTTTCAACCACTCACAAGAACAATATTTCCTTGGCTCTTTTGGCGATTCACAAGATTCATTATTCATGGCACGATGATCGCATTTCATATTCAACACATTCTTTTCTTTAATTTCAAGGATCACCATCAAACATCAACATATAGAATATTCCGAAAATTACAACTTTAAGTTTATTAGCAATGAAGATTTTAAACACAATGAATTCCTTTCCAAGAAATGGAGTAAAATGGTTGGCAATCAAAGCAAAATTTAGAAGCATAAATGAGTAACACATCATTTAATCTTGAAACACTTTTCCCAAAAAGAGCAATACACAATTTCAACTCATGAATATATATATAAGAGCTAAAGACACATTAAAAACACTTACAAAGCATTGCATTAATTAAAACAGCCACGTATGGGCACAAGTATAACTCCCATTATTGGCACGGTGGTCACACTTTCCATATCCAACCTCCTCATTCCACTTTCAAACATCCTTATAGATTATCAATAAAAAGGCATTTTAATTCAAGACGTTAGATACACACTTGAGCAACTAACCAAATTAAGGGTCTTAGACACACGTGATTTCTTACACAATTCGATATGCTAGTTTTCATTAGAATCACGCTTCAAATC